ATGTGAAGAATCAAAAACTAGCACCCATCCTTTCTTTTGTCAACAACTCAAAGTAGAAATGGAAAAAGTCCTAAAGAATATAACTATAACCTGTATGGAAAATTATATGGAGGAAAAAGAACTTCAAATCTTTACCACCCAATTCTCAAACAAAAATAACCTAAAATATAAGGAATACTTGATAACAAACATTAGAAGAGCTTTCTTTAAAGAATTTATACATAGTATCAAGACAGCTATTCCAAATAGAATAGAAAGAAAAAACTATATAATAGAAATTTGTCTTGAGACCATCAAATATCTATACCAAATATGATAAAAATGATTTAAAACCTTTCAAGAGTGGAAAGCTAGGAAGAGAATTACTAGACAAAAGAAAAAATCAGCAAAATATGAGACAAAAAAAGAAGACCTCACCTTTACAGCTAGGAAAAAACATATAAAAAACTAATTCATACATCTGGTCAATAAGTTTATGAATAAATGGATTACAAATTTTATAGACAATTTTTACATATTCAAAATTTTTTTTAGCACTAGCCCAGCCTTGGTAAGTTAGCTTTCCATTCTGGAGTGGCAATAAGTCACAAGGTAAATATCTCAACACAGAGGAATTCTATTGAGTTTTATTTGATAGTAAACAGGTAGATATTCTAGAATAGATTCTATATATTAATACTACATAATTACAAATATGCAAGGTCGAGCCAGTATTTAAAAAAAAAAAAAATATTTTGATTATTTCTAGATAATTTTTTTACTTTAATAAAATTTATTCATCTAAATATAAGAATAAATAGTATTAAAAAACTTTTTTCACTAATTCTTTAACTATATATAAAAAAATATTTGCCGAAAGTTTTTATACTTATTTGTTAATAAAGCTTTAACACTTGTATTAAAACAACTTGAAGTATAACTTCGAGTCACTTTTACACTTCTCTTTTTATTTACAAATTTCTTTATTTAAAAACTTTACTTCTAGTGATCAACAAAAGTCAAATAACACCTTTTATATTAATGGCAAAAAAGTTTTCAAAGGAAAAAGAACTAATTAAAAGTACCAGAAGATCTTTCTAATCTTTAAAGTATGAGAATTATAAAAATCTTGTTGTAGTTAAAAGGCTTATTTTCTTCTTTTTGAACTATTTTATTCCTTTTAGTTCTCTTACTTCTAAAGAATTTTGCTTTTTTAAATTTGACTCAGAATTTTGGGTAGCATAAATTTTTATCAAAAGGGATTGGCAAACATAAAACACATTAATTTTTGAAATATAAATAAGCTTTTATTAGTTACAATCATATATTTGATGACATCATTGGTAATTGAAAAGAAAAGTCCATAAAAAAGGCATTTTCCAACTGAAAAATTTTTCAAGAAAAATAATTATAATATTAAAAGACAAGTAAAAAGTATGAAATATGATATTCCTATCTCTTAACAAGTTCCTTAAATAAATGAGAAGACTTTTTTAAAAAGAAAGTGAAGGTCTTTAAGCTTCTATTTTAGTTAAACAAGGTTTTTGTAAAGATTTCTTTATCCTGATCAAGTCACCTTTACTGTAATATAATTCCGATTTCAATAGTGTAATAAACAAATCCATATATTAGTAAAAGAATAAGTTTTTCAAATATTTTCTTTAAAATCTCCATACTTAGAAATAATTAAGTTTTTTAGATGATCCAAAGTTTAAATAATATTCTAATCAGATAAATTCCTTTCAAGAGAAGGTTGTTTACTTAAATAATAATCTTTAGGGGAATTTTGAATTATTATTATTTTTTTTTTTCCTCAATATATAATTTGACAATTTATTATTTTTGAGAATACTTTATAGTGATAAATTGTAAACAATGATCAAGAAAGTATAATATTGTTCCTTAAATTTAACTTAGAGTACTTAGTTTAGACTTTGTTTTGTTTAGTCCAAACTAGTTTAGTGAATTTCTCATATTTTTTAAGTAATATAGTTCTTTAACTAATAATATACAAAGACAAGTTGGTTATTATATAAATAGTTCATGTAATGCTATAGATATTTCTAATATCTCAATAAAGACAAGTTATAATTATATAATTGTAGATTAAAAAAATAAAAAAATAAAAAATAAGGATAAATAATTTAAAAATACATAAATAAACAAATAAAATTTGAATTCAACTTATATTATTATATTAATTTTATATTTTTAAAATGTTTTAGAAATCTTGTTTTTAATAAATTTGAATTTTTTAAAAAATCAAAATTATAATTAAAAAATAAATGAAAAAATATGCACTTTATAAATTATCTATTTTAATTTAGATTAATTATTTTTAAATATTAATTATTATCAATTAATCAGATTTGATATTTAATTTTTTAATCATGCAAGATTTAATTTTTAAAAAACTTTGATATTTATCTAAATCTTAATAATCTTAATAAGATTTAAGTTATTAAATTTATTGAGTTAATTCAATAAATTTTTGTGTTTAGAAAAATAGCAATTGATATTGATCTAAATATAAAATTAAGAAAATTTTTTTCTTTTTTTATTATTAGTTTAAATGATTTTTTTTTTATTTTCTTAAAAAAACTAAAGAAATAAAAAGAAGAAAAAATGTTAGTATAAAAATATTATCTATTTTCATTAATGATGATATTTTTAAAATGGTTGTGGCATTGATTGATATGTTTAAAGCTTATTAAAACAAGATATTGTTTGTTGTTTTTGGATTGATCCACTTTTTTCAAGAAAAATCTTGGATCTAAAGTCATATAAATATTATACTTATGTAATATTAAGTATCACTATTCTTTAAAATTTCAAAGATTTTTTTTTTTTTTCATTTTAAGAACCATTTTTAAAAAATCGAATGAAATCTGATATAATGCATATATTAAAAAAAAAAAGAAGAATTCGATTTCGTAAAACTTGAATATTTGAAATTCCCAAATTTACTTTTACACGCCGCACATTGTGAGTCTGATCGTTTTCTTTATCTACCACTCTTTTTGTCTTTTGTAATTTTAACAGGATGATCGATTATTAAGTGAACTTTCTTGATTTATAAATACTACGTTAATATAAAAATTTTTTTTATAAAATTTCGTAATGAATACTGTGGATACACTGTATATATTCTTAAGTAATATCCAATTGAATATTATCGTAATAACCAATTCTAATTATTTAACATTTCAATATTACTTAGGTTCAATTGAAAAAAAGAATAATGATTAGCTACAGCTGATAATAATTGCTTAACTTCGCATAAGCTTATTGGTTAAAATTTAATTTGATAAAAAGTTATTTAGCAACTTGTTACTAAGCAATATTAAAACTTTAACTAGACATAGAATAAAAAAAGATTTTCTATTAAAATTCATCATTGAAATAGATCTTTAATTTTCCCTTACTGTACATAGATTTGCATCCAACAAGTGATACTTGAACTTGTACATAGTACATCATTGCTCACTAGAATAATTTACAATTAATTCACTATTGAAACATGAAAAATTCAATCCTATTTAAATTTACAGAGAATTTAAATACACCACAAATAGCCATGTACGTTGGAAACATCCTTGAGAGAATAATCCTCATAGGAAGTTAATTAGAACTCCTGATCTCCCTTGAAACTCGATCAATTTTCTCCTTAAGCTCTGGACTGATGTTGTCATAAACTTTGGGTAAGGCGGTCCATTCTTTGGCGACTCGTTTTCGGATTGTTTCAAAATCATCCCATTGGGAAACTTTACCATGGTCGTAAACTACACGCAGGAGGTTATCGGGGTCATTCTCAGGACAACATTCTTTGGGATACACAATTGGAACCTATGTATAATGGAGCGTTAGTCATGCGGCCAAAGAACTGAAAAGTAATATTGAAATGTTAAATAATTAGAATTGGTTATTACGATAATATTCAATTGG